TATGGGTAGGTCGGGGCCCTGTTCCGATCATAATATATCTATCAGTAGAGGCTTGTAGACATATCCTGTTGGTTAGTGCAGTATGTTGGGTTTGTAGGCCTGGTATGTATATTTGATGGTTTGTCAGCTGTAGTAGCTATGACGGCCTTGTCGGCCTAGCTTTATATTGATGTTTAGTTAGCGCTAGTTTCCATTCAGTTTTATATTTTGCTTTGCAAATTGTCTTGCAAGGTGGCCCCATGGCGAAAGTATGACATTATATGTTCAGAGTCCCTTAGTCGCAATTTGGTACGCTAGGTTAGGTGAGGCACCGGGTGCTTGTCTCGCTCCTAGGTTCGGGGCGTGACATGGGTAGAAGCAGAAATTGGAGCAGATGTAACTGGAGGAGATGGAGCAGAGAAATCAACAGATATATGTGCAGTAGAAGGAAAAAGGCAAGTAGGAGAAGGAGAGAAATATGGGAAAACAGATTCATGAAAAAGGACATCTGCAGAGAAGAAAATATTGTGTTTGGTCAGATTCAACAACTTAAAAGCCTTTTTAGTCATGCTATATCCAAAAAACATACAAGAAACAGTCCTTGAATGAAATTTATCCCTATAAGGCTTAGGAACAGCAGCAAAACATAGACAACCAAAAACTCTAAGGTGAGAGTATATAGGAGGAATACCAAAAAACAGCTCATAAGGTGTTTTGTGATTTAAAAGAGGTGAGGGAAACCTATTGATCAAATAAGTGGCAGTAAGTACACATTCCCCCCAATATTTTAGTGGAAGTTTAGACTGAAAAAGTAAGGATCTAGCAGTCTCTAACAAATGTTTGTATTTTCTTTCCACAACTCCATTCTGTTGAAGAGTATGTGGACAGGAAGTTTTGTGAATGATTCCCTGAGAAGAGAAGAAAGAGGTGGCTTCAGCACTAGATCCTAACTCAAAAGCATTATCAGACCTGAGTGTCTTGACAGAAGAATGAAACTGATTTTGGACAAGAAATATGAAGGATTTCAATAAAGTAAAAGCATTAGACTTGGTAGACAACAAATGAGTCCAACTAGCCCTAGTAAAGTCATCTACAATAGTCAAAAAATACCTAAAACCATTGTATGTTTGTGTATGGTAAGGATCCCATAAATCCACATGGACAAGTTGAAAAGGCTTGGTAGTCTTAATGGAACTATCAGGAAAAGGATGTCTTTGCTACCTAGCCATTGGACAAACTTCACAAACAAAAGACTGTTTCTTAGATAGCTTATCTTTAATATGAGTAATAGATTTCATTTTATGAAAAGGCATGTGACCAAGTCGAAGATGCCAAAACATATCAAAATTAAAAACAGGAACAGAATCATTTGTAGAAGACACAGAAGTAGAAATAATTTTATTAACATCAATGGTATTTACAGTGTTGTCAGGAACAAAATCATTTGTAGAAGGCACAGAAGTAGAAACAGTTTTATTGGCATCAATGATATTTATAGTGTTGACAGGAGCAAAACAAGATGAAGAATTAGTATAATCAGCAGTCGTAGCATTGACAACTTCACCAATTGAAGTAGCAGAAATTGAGTTAGGGGCGAATTGTAGCAGATAAAGTCCATTTGAGATTTTACCAAAAATCAGTGGCCTCCTCAGAGAAAGGCCCTGTAAGACACAATCATAGGCAGAAAATAAAGCATTACAATGAAGTTGCAATAAGGGCTGATGTAGGGAAACTAAATTGTACTGGAAAGAAGGTATAAGTAAAACATTTTTCAAAATCAACTCGTTAGATAAAGGAAGTATGTCAGAACAAGTGACCTTCACCCTATAACCATTGGGAAGTATGACAAGGTAAGGGATTGCTAGTGGTTTAAGATTTATTAAGAGAGATTTCTGATGAGTTATATGATTTGTAGCACCTGAATCTATTATCCAAGGATTACCAACTAAGCGAGAAAGATTGCAAGCAAACATACAACAATGTCTAGTATCAACACAATGTACCAAACCTGTAAGGTTGGCAGATCCAGAGGTAGTAGCATCATGAGAGATCTTAGACTGTTGAAACATGTTCAACAAGTGCTCATACTGCTCCTATGTGAAACCATGGTTCTTAGAATCAAACTGTTCAATCCTATTATCAGAAGCATACCCATCTGTTGGTCCCAGACTTTGAGTCTCTGAAACATAAGCATAACCAGTAGGCTTCTTAAATCTGTTGGACTGGACAGTGCTCTGAAAAGTGTTAGGATACCCATGAAGTTTGTAACATTTTTCTATGGTGTGGCCAGGCTTTTTTGCAGTACTTGTATATGACATTTGCCCTTTTAGGATCGAAATTAACCTTTTGTGAATAAGGTTTTCGGATGCCAGCAGGGGAAGAACCAGTATATGGCTTCTGAACACTAGTGGAGAAAGAAGCAGACTCAGAAGAGAAAGATGGAACTAAAGCTTGTGACTCACATTGACTTTCATCATTAACCAGCATAGCATACGTTGTGTCTATGTCTGGAAGAGGTTTCATAGCCAGAATGTTCCTTCTGATGGTAGAATAATTATCGTTCAAACCCATACGAAACTGATGAAGCTTCTGAACTTCTTCCAATTTTTTATAAGCCTCTTTACATCCACATACACAATCAGGATATGTTATGGAATATGCTAGCTTATCCCACAACTTCTTAATTCTGGAAAAGTAGGAAGCAATATTTGAAGCTCCTTGAGAAATAGATGAGAGAGCCTTACGAATCTGATACACTTTGCTCCCATTGGGCTGTCCATATCGTTTCTCAATGTCCATCCATAACTTTGCAACTGACTCTGTATATATAACACTTTCCCTAATTTCAGCTTCCAAGCTATTCAGTATCCAAGAAATTACCATGTCATTACATCGACACCAAGGCTCATACAATGGAGATGTAACATTAGGTTTGGAAATAGTCCCATTGATTATGCCTAGCTTATTCTTACATGACAAACCAATCAGCATTCCCCTTCTCCAACTTCCATATCCCATACCATTGAATCGATCGGCAACGATAATAGTACCGGGGTTGTCAGTAGGATAGAGGTACAGTGGATTTGAGGGCTCAACAGTAACCGAATTGGCAGATACGGTAGAAGTAGAAGTATCAGATGCATTTTCTAGTGGAGCCATAACAGATTTAAGAAACTAGGGTTTCAAATTCAAATCGAACAAAAAAAAATGGTAACAAAATCGAAGAAGGTACCAGTCTTCTCCACCAAATCAACAACTTTCTCCAGCAAATCGAAGAAACAGAACCTTGGATTTTCGTAGAAGTAAGAATTTATCGGAAACAACCACAAACTTCACCAAACTCTACACCGAAAAATGAAAAATAACTCCAAAATTGTCCGTCAAGGGTAACATCGGACGACGGTCGATGCTCCGATTCACCCAAATTCGGGCTCTGATACCATGTTACGCACAAGGATCGAAGCAATTTGATGAAATGAAGGGGTGAACCCCATGCTTACCAAGAGAGAGAAAATATGGACTCTTATTTTAGATGTGTCTCTTACGGAGAGAATCTGAATATTTTAGAACTATACATTTTTATATACAACTAATAAAAATGGCTATCCCTGTAAAAGAAAAGGCTACACTTGTAAGTTAACTTGTATGTACAGCTAAGTACTTCAAGTTGGGCCTTCAGTTTTGTGTTGGGCCGCTGGACCACTTGTAACTTCAACAGTTTCTACATAAAATATTCAAATTGAGAGAAGTTTTATTTGTATTTCTTATTATGTCAATACTCCAGTGCTTCATAGCATTACATATATATATAGTCTATGCACGCGCGAGTGGCTAGGTACATTTTTTGGTAGGTTTAACGTCATCTGTATTTATTTAGACTTGTTCTGATGTATTGAATTCTAAATAGGGAGATTGTGACTTGCATATTCAGGGTTATTTCCTTCTCGGTGTTGTGTACTCCATTGAATTCTCTTTTTGTAAGGTGTCTCCGACTCCGTGGATGGTAATTTCTCATATAATTAGTGGGTTTACAGAGGATATCCACCGATGACAAACATCTTCGTTTTGCATACTGCTACTTGATAGTGTCGGTGCATAAGACACTTGGTAGAAAAGATTCATTAGCAGAAGTTGGTACCTTTCTAGGACAGATTAGAACTATTTCCTCTTAAGATAGTTTGAACTTCGAAGCACCTGCATGGGAAATACACTTGGCAACTAATTTAAAGGATAAACTAGAACTTTTTATTTTGTAGATGGTGATAACTGTCTGTCCCGCATATAGCAGGTAATAGTTTCTAATTTCGTTATTGGAATTTTGTAGTAGTTGATTGTTGGGAAAAATTAGGGGAAAAGAAATGAAATATATTGTGCAATAGAAAATTTAGACCTGAGAAGAACCGAAATAGAAAGCAGCATTTTCACCCCATAAGTACCATTTTCTTTAAAAATATCAGCAGACTATTTCCTTATGTCATGATTCTTTTTCTTTTATTTCGTAGACTTTTTTAAATGTTTGTAGAACTATCTTGACTTGGTTACCTCCTGGAATCTTCTGAAAATTACTTAATTTTTTTATTATAAAATGCTTCTGGAAGATAATTGTGATTTTCATTATTACATTTGCAGGCTTATGGTGTTAAAAATTAGCTCCAAGTTCGAACTCCGACGGTTTTGCCGTACCACTGGGGCTGTTGCAGTTGTAAGCATGCTGGTGTTATATAGAGCCCACACAAATATGTATTAAGAATCACACATATTAATACACATGTAAAACATGTATGTGTATTTATATATGCACACACCTGTATGTCTGTGTGCGCGCGCTCGAGCGGGCAGAAGAGTTCATTTCTGTTTATCCTAATATTCTTGTTTGATTGTGAGAACAGGTGAAGCTTAGCCAGCCAAATCCAGATGACCTCGGCTATGTTGATTCTGTTTCAGTGGAGGAAATCAGTGGTGCTAGGGTAATATTCATCTTTGTTCAATTTACAGTCAAAATCTTATAGGTCTTGTTTGCATTAGTAGTACCTTTGATTCCTTATATTTGCAACAGGTTACAGTTGTGAGGAATGAAGAAGTTGGAAATTCTGTCTCCACTATTGTTTTGCGAGGAAGCACTGATAGTATCTTGGATGACCTTGAAAGAGTAGTTGATGATGGCGTAAATACATACAAGGTAGCCAAAGTAGAAGAGGAAATTCACCTAATAGCTACTAATGGAAGCATTATGATTTATCTTTAAAAAACGTCCCTTTCACTGTGTTGGGATACATTTTATTGTTGGACATTGGAGATTAGGTACATTTCGAATATACGTTGCTACAGATGGAAGATCTATTGGGATCTGACTTTTGTTGCTTTATGTTTGTACCAGGCAATGTGCAGGGACAGTCGGATTGTACTTGGGGCTGCTGCAACTGAAATTGAGTTGGCAAGAAAACTGAAAGAATTTTCTTGCAAAGAAACTGGGTATTGTTTCTGTTGCTTTTGCAATGCAGATGAGCTCTCCCTTCCTGCTGCGTGCACTTACTCTTGTTCTGTGTGACATCACACTAATTACTTTCGAAATGGTTCCTAAGACGCTAGCTGAGAATGCTGGCCTCAATGCAATGGAAATTATATCATCCTTGTATGCTGAACATGCATCTGGAAACATTAAAGTGGGCATTAACTTGGAGAGAGGTGTCTCTGAGGATGTTTCCACCATGAATGTATGGGACCTCCATGTCACCAAGTAAGCTGCCTTTTCCACCGGTTACTGCAACCTGCTATTTTTATTTTGTTCAATGAGTGGAGGAAAGGTTTTACTTGGACATTGAACATCTATCTTGAAATGTGACAGCCTAAACTTGACGTATGTGGTTCACACTCAATTGTAATTGCTGAAGTGAATCACTTATAAAAAATAAAGCAATTGCTGCAGTGAAAGAGGTCTCACCTAGCTCATTATTGATTTCACTCTTCATTTTGTATATATCCTGACAATTAAAGTATTTTTAGTTGAATATTGTTTCTCGACTAAATTTCTTCATAAAAGATTTGATTGTTGTGATGCAATTCCCATTCCTCATGACTGATGCCTCCCCCTAAACAGGTTCTTTGCTCTAAAATATGCTGCGGATGCCGTTTGCACAGTGCTTCGGGTAGACCAGGTAATCAGCTATTAGTCATTCATAAACTTATGTAGCACAATGAATAATAGTAAAGTTTGGAGTTTGGAATGAGGGGAAAAAGCTGCTAATCTACCAACATTATAATAAGGAAAATTGCGGCTCTCCAAAATGCTGATCGACATGAAATTATCACTAATTCTCTTTTGCTTGATGAATCGTCATTTATTAAATTTTGTCTTCATTTTGAAGTCTTTTAACCTTTATGCATTCTCTTTAAATTTTGTATATTGTTCAGATTATTATGGCAAAACCAGCTGGTGGTCCAAGCAGGAGAGATCAACCGGCAGGGTTGGAAGAGGATTGAATCTTTATTCACATCATATTATGTCGAGTCTTCTTTCATATCAATGCATGATACATCTTCTCTGGGCTTGGTTTCTTTCTTTTTTATTTTTTTGACTTTATTTTCTTGTTAAGAGAATGACTCAACAAAATTTTGATAACTTTGGAACTGTTTGTATATGCCACTTATATTACACTTGCTTAGGTTGGTGCCAAAAGCTGTAGTCCGTTGGGTTCCTCCGGTGATCTTGGGTACTGTAAGCAAATTGGGTGTCGTTTGCTGTATGTTAGCAGTCTGTGATAGTCTGTGATAGCATTGTCAATTTGTATGCGAGAGCAGAACCCTGCACTCGAACAATTCTTTTTGTTCTGGTGACTCGTCAGGGAGCATCATTGGTTTGAAACACTAATGATCCAAGCTGTTTTGGCACTGTCCTGTGTTGAGAGTATTTTGAAATATATCTCTATTTATACTTGTTTTTCTCACACACATGGACACCTATACGTTTGTATGGTTCGACTTGTAAAACAGATTTCTGCTGGATTCGAATTAGATCCCTACGGGTTGAGGTCAGACCGTTATTTCTAAAAGTTTGCTGCTTTGAGAGTATCTGAACGTCATCCCAATATCTATAAGCCACTTCATTCCCCTTCATGTACCCAAAAGAACCTCAAACAGAGATTTTTGCTCTAAAGCACTCTCCAATTAATCTGAAACTGTTCCTTTTTATCTCTTGAATGTTGCATTATAGGATCAATAATGATACAGAAGTACTCTATGTTTCTGACATAATCCAACACTAAATCTCAAATTCTTAACCAAATAAAGTATCCGTAAATCCTTAAGTATCACATCTTGAAACTTGAACCCACTAGAACCATTCTCGAGAGTCACCTACTGTCACGACCCGAAATTTCCCACCGACGGGACCGTGATGGCGCCTAACATTTCACTTGTCAGGCAAACCAATGTTAGAAAATCGTTAAACTAATTCCTTATTTCCATTCAGTAAATAACAATAATTAACTAAGATGAAATAAAATAAGTACGGAATATTATAAAACTGTATTATTTACTACCACCCGGATCTGGAGTCACAATTCACGAGCATTCTAGAATTTACTACAAGTAATAGTATGAAAGAAATACAATTGTCTGAATGAAAGAAAACAACAGTGACATAAAAAAGGTAGACGAAGACTTCAAGGTCTGTGAACGCCGACAGATCTACCTTGAGTCTCCGGACAGCGGACCAATAGCAAAACCTCGATCAACCTGAGTCGGTATCAAAGTCTGCACAGAAAGTGCAGAGTACAGCATCAGTACAACCGACCCCATGTACTGGTAAGTGTTGAGCCTAACCCCGACGAAGTAGTGACGAGGCTAGGACAAGACACCCACATATAACCTGAACAGTATAATCATGCTAGTGGCAACAACAGTAAATAAAGAAATAACGCAGAAATAATGGGAAGGGAACATACAGTGGGGGAATACAACATAAAGAGTGAGAATAATGAAAAGACAGAAATAAACCGAAAATCCTTAAATGAATTGAGCAATTAAAACAGCAAGGAAAACTGCACGGCATCACCCTTCGTGCTTTTACTCTCAACCTCACCAAATAAATAAATAAATAGAACGACATGGCATCACCCTTCGTGTATTTACTCTANTCAAAAATGACTCAATAATATCAAACATTGCTAAAGGAATCAAGTTTAATGAATAATTACAGATTTCTCAAATTTTTCCTCCAAAAAGTCAAAAATCGACCCCGGGCCCACTTGGTCAAAATCCGATGTTCGGATCAAAATCCATTTACCCATTCATCCCCGAGCCCGAATATGTAATTAGTTTTGAAATCCGACCTCAAATTGGGGTCTAAATCCTCAAATTTCTGAAATCCCTAGTTTCTACCCTAACCCCTAATTCTACCATGAAAACTCTAGAATTTAGGTTGATAATTCATAAAATGTAATGGGTAATTGAAAGAAAATGGTTTAGAATCACTTGCCAACAATTTGGAGAAGAAATGGCTCTTGAAAAATCGCCTCTCACCGTTTGGTTTTTGAGAAAAATAAATTTTTGGCTAAAATCCCGTTTTTGGATTCTGTTAAGTGCTGGGCGACAGTGTTCATCGTGTTCGCGAAGGGTACTAGCTGCCAAGCCTTCACGTTCGCGAGACCCAGCTCGCGTTCGCAATGGTTACTCCCCCTGGCCTTCGTGTTCGCGAGGCATTGCTCGCATTCGCGATGAAGGAGCGACTGACTCCCCCTCCCCAATGCCTAACACTACACGTTCGCGATGGGCTTGTCACGTTTGCGAAGGGTAACACCCCCATTGCTTCGCATTCGTGACCAAGTCTTCGCGAAGAAGAAATCCCTGCCTCATCAGTTTACTCTTCGCGTTCGCGAGAGGACCTTCGCGAACGCGAAGAAGGATATGTGAGACACCAGAATCTACAGAAAACCAGATTTTTTCCAAGTCCAAAATATCCCGTGGCCTATCCGAAACTCACCCGAGCCCTCGGGGCTCCAAACCAAATATGCACACAAGTCTAAAAACATCATACGAACTTGCTCGCACGATCAAATCGCCAAAATAACACATAGAACTACGAATTTAGCACCAAATCAAATGAAATTCTCAAAAAAACTTTAAAATTTCTATTTTTTCAACTGGATGCCCGAATCACGTCAAATCAACTCCGTTTCTCACCAAATTTCACAGACACGTCTTAAATATCATAACGAACCTGTACCGGGCTTCGGATCTAACAATGCCAAATATCAATCAATTCTTAAAAACAAATAATTTTCAGACTTTTAGTTTTCATCAAAAATTCATAACTCAAGCTAGGGACCTCCGAATTCAATTCGCATACGCCCAGGTCCCATAATTCGATACGAACCTACCGGGACCGTCAAAGCACGGATCCGGACCTGTTTACCAAAAATATTGACCGAAGACAACAAAAATTAACTTTTAAGGCAAAAATTCTTATTTTCCTTAGTTTTCAACATAAAAGCTTTCCGGAAACCTGCCCGGACTGCGCACGCAAATCGAGTAGGGTAAAAATGATATTTGTAAGGCTTATGAGTTCAGATTCGAGTTTTAAGACATAAGATGACCTTTTGGGTCATCATATTCTCCACCTCTAAAATAACCGTTCGTCCTCGAACGGACATAGAAAAGTACCTGGGCTGGTGAAAAAGTGGGGATATCTACTCCGCATATCGGACTCGGACTCCCAAGTAGCTTCCTCAATAGGCTGACCTCTCCATTGCACTCGAACTGAAGGGTAACCTTTTGATCTCAACTGGCGAACTTGCCGGGCTAGAATTGCCACCGGCTCCTTCTCGTAAGTCAAATCCTTGTCCAACTGGACAGAGCTGAAATCTAACACATAGGACGGATCGCCGTGATACTTTCGAAGCATGGACACATGGAATACCGAATGAAAAACTGCTAAATTAGGTGGCAATGCAAGCTTGTAATCCACCCCTCCCACTCTCTCCAGAATCTCAAAAGGTCTGATATACCTAGGGCTCAACTTGCCCTTCTTTCCGAACTTCATTACACCCTTCATGGGTGATACCCGAAGTAACACTCTCTCTCCAATCATGAATGCAACATCACGAACTCTACGATGGGCATAACTCTTTTACCTGGACTGAGCTGTGTGAAGTCGATCCTGAATAATCTTGACCTTATCCAAGGCATCATGTACTAAGTCTGTGCCCAACAACCGAGCCTCTCCCGGCTCGAATCACCCAACTGGCGACCGACACCGCCTACCATATAATGCCTCATAGGGATCCGTGTGAATGCTCGACTGGTAGCTGTTGCTGTAGGCAAACTCTGCAAGGGGCAAGAACTGATCCCACGATCTTCCGAAGTCTATAACACAAGCGCGGAGCATATCCTCCAAGATGTGAATAGTACGCTCGGACTGCCCGTCCATCTGAGGATGAAATGTTGTGCTCAACTCAAATCGCGTACCCAACTCACGCTGAACTGCCCTCCAAAAGTGCGAGGTAAACTACGTAACTCGATCAGAAATGATAGACACGGGCACACCGTGAAGACGGACGATCTCACGAATATAAATCTCTACCAACCGTTCCGAAGAATAGGTAATTACCACAGGAATGAAGTGCACTGACTTAGTCAGCCTATCCACAATGACCCAAACTGCATCGAACTTCCTGTGAGTTCGTGTGAGTCCAACAACAAAATCCATAGTGATACGCTCCCACTTTCACTCAGAAATCTCTAACCTCTGAAGTAAACCACCAGGTCTCTGATGCTCACACTTCACCTGCTAGCAATTTAGGCACCGAGCTACATAGGCAACTATGTCCTTCTTCATTTGCCCCCACCAATAATGCTGTCTCAAGTCCTGGTACATCTTGGTAGCGCTCGGGTGAATAGAATACCGAGAACTGTGAGCCTCCTCAAGGATCAACTCACAAAATCCATCCACATTAGGCACACAAATACGACCCTGCATCCTCAAAACTCTGTCATCTCCAAAAGTAATCTGCTTGGCACCACCGTGCCGCACTGTGTCTCTAAGGACAAGTAAATGAGGATCGTCATCCTGCCGATCTCTGATGCGCTCAAACAAAGAAGACCGAGCAACTATACAAGCTAGAACACGGCTGGGCTAAAAAATATCTAACCTAACGAACTGGTTGGCCAAAGCCTGAACATCCAATGCAAGCGGTCTCTCACCAACTTGAATATATGCAAGGCTACCCATACTGACTGACTTTCTACTCAAAGCGTCGGCTACCACGTTGGCCTTCCCGGGATGATATAATATGGTGATATCATAGTCTTTCAATAGCTCCAGCCACCTCCTCTGCCTCAAATAGAGTTCCTTCTTCTTGAACAAATATGCAAGCTCCGATGATCAGTGAATACCTCACATGGCACGCCGTAAAGATAGTGCCTCCAAATCTTTAGCGCGTGAACAATGGCTGCCACCTCCTTTGCTGTGGCCTTCGGTTCGTTCGTAAGGCACAAACCGGCCCCTCGAAGTCCGCCTGTCCGCGTCATAATCATCCTTTGATTTTTCCTTGTTCTTTTCTCATCCTTTGGTCGACGATGAAAAACCAACATGATCATCTTCGATCCTTATTTTTGATTCATACCGGTTGTGGACGTCCGCCCAGGTCGTTGCTTGAAACTCGAGTGGGCTCTTCTTCAATTTCCTAGAAGCGTCTGAACCCTTCGGATTCAATCCTTTGGTGAATCACTTGGGGTCTAAAGTTCCGTAATACTTTGGCATTTCAGGCATTTTGAACCGCTTCGGGATTAACTCTGGTGCCGTACTTGGCTTGTACGGCAATTGAGTATACTTCTTCGAGTCCGGACCTTTTAGCACTGGTGGCGCGCCCGGGATCTGGTCCATGCGGGCATTTACTTCCCTCGTGAATCGTAAAAATTCATTCTTGAAATAATCATTCTCGTTGTTGAGACCGGATCCGTTCCCCCCTACCCCATCGGAGCCAATTTCACCCTAGGAGTGTTGTTGTCGATCCTCCATGTTGTTTGATTCGTGAGAATCCCGGGAGGAATCAGATCTCGTATGTTTGCATTATTTGAAGCTCCCGGCAGCACTTACTTCAACTCCGTCATAACTTTATCATATTGCATGAGGTGGCTTAGAATGATCGCATGTTGTTCTTGCAAGACCCTTACCGCGTCGACGACATGCTCCTCATCAGCGTCATCGGGAGTGGTCCCCCGAACATGTCGAGGATATTGCCTATCATGCACTGGTGTATCGTCACTCCCTTCGTTATGGGTGTCGCTGATTGAGTCCTCGGAATAAGGCTGATCCCCTCGAATCTCGGGGTTGTACATGTCGTTAACAGTGTTATCTGCCAATTCTTATGATTTTTTTTAGACAAAAACAATCAAAACATGTTAGTAAAAAAGGCAAGGATCAATTTAGTTACACGACTATCTAGGCCCCACGGTGGGCACCAAACTGTTTACCTGAAAAATGGTATAAATGAATTTATACGTGGTTTCTAGATAAGTGAATTAATTTGATCCCGAAATAAATAAATAATTGAAAAGTTACGCAATACTTAGCCTTAAGATATAGACGAAACAACAGAAGCAACAATTTCAGGAACAGGATTTTCGGGCACAACAACAAAAGAATCAAAAAATAAGAAGATAAGATTGGATTGAGCTTTGAATAAAATATAGTGCAAGTTTTCCAGAAAATTCATCCCCCTTACAATAACAACTGAGCTCACTATTTATAGCTATGAAGAAGGTCCTAGGGTCGTGCCCTTCTTTAATGTCAATTATGAGGGGCATTGATGAAGATATAACGGTGAACATAAATGTCAAATTCCTTATAACGGGTAACTGCTCTTAATGCTATGAATATTCTCTATTGAATGCTATCGGGAGAATAACACTTATCACATCTTTATGAGCATTATTCTTCCCGGTGACAAACGAAACAGTTGTCTTCAATCTTCAGTCATCCCCTATCTTGAGTTCCACGTGTCCCTTTCTTGGACGGCTACATGTCATAACAGATTTTACCCTATACAATTTCCCAGCCACATTATTCACATGCCAAATAAAAGAAATGAAAAAAATAATTATCATATATTAACCTATATAACAATTTACATTGCTAAAAAATATGTTAAAACTTAAATGGCAATCTACATTCCTTGATTTCTGATCATTTATCGAGAGTAAGCCCCTCAATTTTGAAATTGAGTTTTTAGGTACGCGCTAACCCTCTTCCAATGGGGAATCATTGACCCATAAAACTGCACTTGCACTGATCTTTTTAGCCCCTCACGAGAAAAATCCAAGTCTCTGGCAACATCATAATCAACATTTTCTGGAGTTTCAAGCAGAGGCAATGCAACTGATCCATGGGACTCTAAGCTCCTTACCCATCCACGGAGCAGAAAATTCACGACCTGTACATGTAAAATCGCCTTCACATGTCTGAACTTACACTAATAATAACTTATAGACTATTCATTGTTTTCATTTGTATATCTCATGTTGCCCCAGAAAAAAACTGTCACAATCAAGAATCAGTCCAGTGCCAAGTGCCAGTGCCAACTTAAAATGTAAGCTATTTATCTTTGAAAGAATTACAAGCGCAGTTAAATCGACTTCAAAAGCAGTCTCAGAATGTTAACCAAAGATGATGAGAAAATTTATTTACTAAGCTTTTCCTTGCATTACTAAGCAAGAACGTGCATAAGCTCTTACAGTTGGCTATGATCCATGCACCAGTCAACGAACGTAAAAGCATAATGTAGGATGACTGAAGGGTCTGGGACAAGGCTCTTTCAGGAAGACGACAAATTTACAGATTTTGTGGGTCTACGACAAGGCTCTTTCATGAAGGCAGGAGAAATTAACAGATTTGAGTGTCTGTGACATACCTCTGGAGCTTCATCATGGGGACAATGGCCGGCAGGGCTAATCTCATAATATGGAGCTTCAGGCAGTTGCCGTTTCACCTGTAAACCCCAAATAGGCTTCACCCATGGATCTTGTTTCCCATACATGAGACAGACAGGCACATTCTTCATTTGACACCTACGAAAATGTAAAAACTGGAAGCTTTGTAATCTTGTTTAGTAAAACTAGTGATAAATAAGCCAAGTGCAGCAATGTAATGCGTTGCTCTACCTACCCAGATAAAGCCTCTTCAAAAGAAACTTGTCCTCTAGGAGCAAACATTATTGAGGCAAAGGCTGCCGCTGCTGCAGGATGTTTTGCCGTCTCAAGTATCCGAGTGAAAACTTTATCAAACTTTGTGGTGTGATCAGCATAAACTTGTTTCAGTACCTTAGCAATAAATTCAGGACCACTAATTTTCTCCCATCTGAAAGCATAATAAAGCAGACGCATACATTTAGGGTACAACAGAAGGCAAACTTTTGTTTTTTTTTAAGACAAGCCGTAAAACAATCCTGAAGACTTCAAAAGAATAACTCACATTATGTTAAACCAAATAGCCAATGACACCATGCATTTTGTTTCATGTAAGTTACAACACGTAATAGACATATTAATTGAATAATATTTGGTTTCTGTAGGTCTTAACTGAATTTAAGAAAACTAGTTAACCTGACTTAAAAAGGCTCTCTACTTCAGGAGACAAGTTTACAGGCCTGAGGGAACTGCATAATAACATTCTTAAAAGAATCATATAACTTACAGAAGTTCTGTGAGCATTCTGACAGAGGTGGGAAGAGGAAAGCTCCCAGTCCAGGGAAATACTCTAGATAATCTTGGGGATTTAACAGGATTCGGAAAAAATCCCCAAAATGGTGTTGCGTTCAGCAAAGTTACACCTTTAACCAAATGAGGATAACGTGCTGCGAAGTAAATGGCAACATACCCACCAAGAGAATTCCCCACAATGTAAACTGGCTCTTTAATAACCTGCACCATAAGATCTGTTCGAGTTTATGTATTCCTCATGAGCTATAACTGATATAAATAAAGTTAAACCAACCAAAACTAAAAGACTTTGTCAGAAAAAGATATTTTTCCAAGCAATTTTATTTAGCCAAAATAAGACGAAGCCTCTATAAAAGTCTATTTTCCTATTATCACAAAATAAATCAAAAGCAGTAAAGAGCACCAGCAAAACAGATATGACCGCAGCAGAGTAATAGAATAGCAAGAAACTATACTCCAGGCAAATATACAAGACAGTAGAATAGCAACATGAGCAAACAGATCAATAAAAAGTTTAATAGCCTGGCTGCAATCAACACATCTGCTTAGAGGTAGTTTACATTATAGCAAACATTCAAACCAGGATACTTGACGCAAACGAGAAATTCCTACTGATAGGCTGGGATCAACTAAAGCCTTTCTTATCTTCTCACATCCACATCAAATCATCCTGAGGTAATAGAAGGTGTGTTGGTAACATTTGGTAGCTCAAGTTACTTCATAAACCGATGATGTTAGTTTTACAACTGTAAGAAAGAACCAGAAATAACTTCTTGATGCTAGGTCGTGAAGCACAGAGGATGCACCTGAAGGAATAAGGAACTGCCTAACCTCAGACTAAAATCATTCTCGGTTCAGTCATTTTCTAACTGTAACCGCAAAAAATCTGGTCATCACCATGCCAGCAAGAGTATAACTTCTTCCTGCCTTTCAGTCCAAAATCCAACAACTTTATGATAATTCATTTCTTGCTTGTCTGAATTAGTAGATAAATACAAGTCAAAGAAAAGACAAAACTGAGAATAAAGAGAGAGAGAGAGAGAGAGAGAGAGACTAGTGCCATGGAAGATAGCCTGCCACATATTATCATTCGATTGTCTACTGCATTAGGAAGAAGACATAATGTGATACATGAAAATGGAATCCTACTTAACAAAATTGATCAGTGTTTAAGAGCTGGGATTTTCTTTTCTTTGTCGGTTAAGAGCTGGGAAAACTCGTTGAATTTGTAACAAATAATTACTGGAAAAGTGCACCAAATTTAAATATCAAAGAAACAAATCCATGCCAACAAATTTTAATTCTATATTCTTTACAAACATCGCAAAAAGTGAAAATATAAAGACACAAAGTACTACCTCTTCAATGAAATAGTGCACTTGCTCCTTCCATAAGTCAATAGAGTAGACAAGTTCTTTTGCCCAGGGTTTTGCTTCATCTCCAAAGCCCCACACATCTCCGTCAAGTTGTTCCTTGGACGTCGAGGTCAGATCTTCACATGGTAATGACTTCCCCTGGCCGAGAAAATCTATTGCCCATATTCTGTGATCACGGCCAAGATCCTTTAGCTGTTTTTCATAGTGAAAGGAACCAACACCAAAACCAGGAAGAAAAAGCACTGGTGGGGAATTAACATTTTCGCAACCTGATTTCTCATAATGAACATTCAATTTTGGCTTCCATTCCCAAAACCAACTGCTAATGGGAGCACCCAAATCACCTTTATTATCTTCGTCGGGCAAACCAGGAATGATAACCTTGGGTACTGATTTGCCAGCACCAGTCACGTCTTGCTTACCCTCTTTTCCATCAACTGCATAAGAGTTATAACTTTTACCCAAGGCACTTGAATCAAAATTATCAAATTCCTTGAATGCATTGATAGGGCAACAAATTCTGCTCCGATTTGGTCTCTTTATGCTAAACTGATCTGCACCAGAATACCCGAGCGCTCCCCGAGAAGGTTTAAATAGAACATAACACATCCTTTCCTCTTTTAATATGGGAAAACTTGCCTGATTTGAACCTGGACATTTACCCGTTGCTTTCCCTCTAACGTTTACAACGTAATAAAATGATGTGGAATGGCAAGATATAATTTCCATTCCTGAATCAACTTTCTGAAATGAAAAGATTCAAATCAAGAAAATACCATAACTAGCAATTATGTTATTGTTAAACAGAAATGTAACATGTAGAGCACAAGTAATTCGATGCACAATACCAATTCACCAAACAAAAAACAACAACAACAACAACAACAACAACAACCCCGTATAATCCCACTAGTGGGGTCTGGGGAGGGTAGTGTGTACGCAGACCTTACCCCTACCCTGGGGTAGAGAGGCTGTTTCCGATAGACCCTCGGCTCCCTCCCTCCAAGAACTCCCCACCTTGCTCTTGGGGTGACTCGAACTCACAACCTCTTGGTTGGAAGTGGAGAGTGCTCACCGAACAAAAAAGGAATCAGCAATTCACTTGCTAAGGTAAGGCCCCAAAATACAATTCCCTTACTTTAGTTCTAGCATATCAATATCAGATTCTTTTGGAATGTATTTGTTGGTTTTCATCATTAGTGCTGAAAACGAGTAATATCAAATAGTCAGACCAGTGGTTGATGTAGCTTATTAGCTATGAGTTCAATCGTACCTAGTGTTTTGACACGGTTTGAAAAATCACAAATATTTCAACAAATATTACCTTCTGAACTCATAATTTCAAAAGTCGATGCTAAGAACCTTAAAAGGTCGAGCCCATCCAAGTTAAAATCCTCAATCCGGCTCTAAGACAGACTATCTGTGATATTAATTAGAAAATCAGATTCATTGGCTACGGCACCAGTTCTACCACTTCTTTTTTAAAAGTGAAGTCACTCTTCATTCCATGTCATCACCAAAATAGAAAGAATAATGGCAGACCGATCTGAGGAAGTTAGAAGCATATCTACAAATTCTTCAGTACCCAAACAGAGTTTTGCATGTAGACGATAATTCAAACAAAAAAGTCCAATTTTTTAGTAATAAAAAATGATAAATATACGAAGAAGGAAGGAAAGAATATAATAGTACCACCTCTAATCAGATATCATTAGCAGAAGCTCCAAAACAGTGGGAAAGATGGTTAAATATTTCCTATTTCTCTGCTGAGTAGAGAGAAAAAGAAAACGAGAATAATCATGAAAATGTGTAGTAGAATTCAACTCTTTCTTTCCCACTATAATTTGCTTATTTTTGGTAATTCTTTCAGGCAGAATTTGGAATTAACGAAAAGGAAAAGGAGTGAACGGAAGGATTTGGTTTAATCGTTTGGGCCACCACGTGTCCGGTGATCATGGCTGCTGATTGGCGTTCCATATTTGTTCATGGGTTGCGGTGGGCCCACAGAAAGTGGGATTTTCAAAGGAGATTTGCAGACAATATAACAAAAGTGGTTCCTTTTATTTGGAGTTAGATTTAAAATACGTAGTCTCTTAAATATACTCTTGAGCAGTCTTAATCATTTAAATTTATCAAAAATGAGCATTTTTGGTTTTTGTCAAATATTTAACAAAATTTGAGTATTAGATTTAAGGGTGAAAATACATATTTAACCATAAACACCAGGATAGTCCAAAAACTATTACACCAAAAACTACACCAAATATTAGAAATAGACAAAAAAAAAAACAACCAAAACTGCACCTCAAGAACTATATCAAACATCATATATAGAACAAAATAGAAAAAACTATAAAATAAAATAAAAAACTTCACCTCCAAATGTGATTCTGATCACATCTTTATTATTTATCACATTTATATTAAATTTAACGGCTCGAGTTTGTTAAATATTTGACGCTAACAAAAATTGCTCACTACTAACAAAATCAAATAACCAAAAGTACGCTGGAGTACATGTAAGGACTAAACAAGTTCTTTCCCTCGAGGAAGACAGAGATGGTACGGAGTCAGATAGTGGGATTTCATTAGAACAATAGGGAAACATTGCGTGAAGCATTAAATAGATTTAAAAAGTTGCTCAGAAATTGCCCACATCGTGGTCTCGTGGAAAGATTACATGACCCATCAAACATGTCACGACCTAAAAAATTTATGATGGCGTCTAACCGTACTCATTAGACAAACCAACTAACACAAATACATCTCAACTCCATGATTTTCATAAAAATAATAAAGTTGAAATGCAAAATCCAATACATACTGTCGCAAAATTTGATGTCATAAGTCATGAGCAACAAAGAGTAGAAATATATTACTGATATAAAAAAAAATATAAAATCTATTTGAATATATATTAACATAAATACAGACTCTAGACTACCATGAACAAAGAGCAACTCACAACTAAAATATTGTTATATCTTCAATGCTCGCTTCGAACTCTGTAACATTTCAGCTCCAATATCTGCAAATAGTGTGCAGAAGTGTAGTATGAGTATACTGACGTAGTACTCAGTAAGTATCCCGACTATTATTTAAAAAAATAGTGCCAAGGGTTTAATCAAAATATTCTCTTTTTAAACTGTGCAGTTCATATACATAGCAACAATAGAGAAATTTTCAAAACAATAACATAATAAGCTAATTACGGTCAAATAAAATATATCAATATGCACAGATATAACATATAAAGTAATGCACTCTATCGGCTAATTAACAAGTCCAATGCATGAACTGGTGCATCAAAATATCATATATATAATGATATCCACACAACTTTTATATGAAATTAAACCCGCTAACAAGTTCTGTGCATGTCTGTAATGCATCAAAATAACATATATAATAATATGCATTGGTATAACATATAAGAATGCATGAACAGATATAAAGAATCACTAAAACCATACAAAGCTTCTACTTTTATGATCGAACACTAGCGATATCATGATCAAACTAGAAACCTGACTATTTCTCATAAACCCGTGTATATGCCACCGAGAGAGAAACATGGAAGGGCTACTCGAGAGGGATAGATCCTTATCTATATACAAATAGGAACGTAAATCCTTTGCGTCCTATAGGAACATGATGTACATGCCTTAATTGATACCTCAATCAGAATGTGGATCCACATGCCTTAACAGGAACATAAAGTCACATGCCTTAACTGATATCTCAACAGGATCGTGAATTCACATGCCCTAATAGCTCAATATCTCATAATCATCTCACATAAGTAATAAAAATAATTTATGCTAACAAAGTGCATAAAAACATTGTATGATTGAGAAGTTTAACTATGTAAAATAGATACATGAGATTTATATAGATATACAAGCATATGAAGGATGCCTATAATATTATACAAGCATAAATAAGATGCTTAAGTAGTCCTACAATAACTAATCGTAACATACTATCATATTGAACTAGCACGTGAGAGATGCCTAAAATATGATACTATTACGTGCAAAAGCACAAATAGTCATGAACGAGTAAGCAAGTAAAAACAAGTAGGGCAAGTAATGCATACGAAGCTATCATTCCATCCAAGCAAAGAAGACATGAAGTTCGCATATGTGCTCATCAACTTACATATATGTTACCCCAAACTCGTAGCACATAAAAAATAAGACAATTTATAAAATATTTCCCCGTTGAGGTCAAGTCTCAACTTACCTCAGTCCAACCTATCCTTTTCCTTCAAAAATCATCTTTCCTTGCTCCAAATGTATCAAACTATCCCAATTTGGCCCAAAGAATTCTCCACAATGTCCAACAAAGTTATAGGACTTAATTCACTAAGTAAAAGATGAGGTTTTAGGTCAAAGTTAAAAAGTCAACCCCGGAGACACCGAGTATGTTCTGAGAGAAATTCATGAAGGCACCTGCAAAAATCACTCGGGCGTCGAATCATTAGTTAAGAAAATAATTAGAGCCGGCTACTATTGGATCGACGTGGAATAGGACACGGAGGAGTTCGTATGAAAATGCGACGTATGTCAAAGGCATGCTCCGATGATTCATCAGCCCGGGGAGCTGCTACATTCGGTCTTGTCGCCCTGGCCGTTCATGAACTTGGGGATAGACATCGTCGGCCCCCTTCCCTGGGCACCCGGTAAGGCTCAATTTATGTTGTTTATGACTGACTATTTTTTTAAATGGGTGAAAACCCAGGTGTTTGAGAAAGTCAGGGAGAAGGAATTCATCGATTTTATCTGGGAGCACATAATATGTCAGTTCGGAATGCCGGCCGAGATCGTGTGGGACAATGGGAAGCAGTTCATCGGCAGCAAAATAAGCAAGTTTCTCGAAGATCATAAGATCAACCCTATCACTCTAGTGGGAACGGGTAAGCGGAGTCCACGGACAAAACCACACTCCAAAACCACAGAAAGAGATTGACCGACGCCAAAGGAAAATGAAAAAAAATCTTGCCCGAAGTCCTATGGGCTTACTGTATGACCTCAAAGTCCAGTACCGGGGCCACCCCGTTCTTGTTAGTTTATGGTGCCGAAACTCTAATACCGGTCGAAGTCGGAGAACCAAGTCTCAGGTTCCGACATGCAATCAAAAAATTAAACAACGAGACCATGAATACGAGCCTGGAACTGTTGGATGAAAGGCGCAAAGCCGCACTCGTCTGAATGGCCGCCCAAAAATAATGGATCGAGAGGTATTACAATCGAAGAGCCAACCTTCGAAACTTCAATGTCAGAGACTTAGTATTGAAGAAGGTCACATTAAAACCCGGGAACCCGAATGAAGGGAAGCTGGGGCCGAACTGGGAAGGTCCGTATCATATTATCGAGATCACCGTAAATGGGTCATACAAACTCGGAACAATGAATGGTGAGCGACTACCGAACAACTGGAACATAACTCACTTGAAACGATATTACTGCTGAGGTACGACCCCGTTTACTTCTTTTATTTATTTACATTTTGGACTAACACTTGCAGGTAACTGTCAAAGAACGATACAATGTTTTAGGCCTGAAAGCACGCGTTGTATTCTTTTTCCCTTAAACCAGGAAATAATGGATCNGCATCACCCTCAGATAACGATTATGGTAAGGAAAGAAACTTTTGTGCTCGAATAGTTTATGCTCGATCGATAAGATTTACTGTAAGGGCCAAACGGTCGAATGAATCGTGCCCACATAGACTGCCTGATCCCGGACACAAATCTTGAACACATGTGTAACTTTGTATATTACGCACAAAATTGAAAGGAAGTTTCTACCTTGCAGATAAATATTTTGCCCTTTGAAAATTTTTCTTTCTTACATTTGATCCCCTAAAGACATTGAGCCCAAGGGCCACCTCACTCGAGGACTGCCGCCCAAGGCAGATTCGGATAGCCCGGGATAATAAAGCCCGGGGCACAAAGCTTATTTGGAAGTGCCCGAATTTTAAAGGCTAGGGCCACCCCCATTCGGCAACGGTTATCTCGGTTAAGCCCGGATGACTCGGGATAACAAGCCCACTGGGCAACACCCGAACTAGAAAGGCTATGACCGTCTTAAAATGGCTCGGAGACGTCCGAGACTCGTAACCAAAAAATTCTAAACCGGTTCAAAAGGCTACTCTCGGCGAATTGTAATCTAAAAAATTCTAAGTACTTTAGGGAAAGCTTCCAGTCATCCCGAGCCCCCCACGAGGTTTAAACAAAATAATATCGAGAACAAGGCCTGTTCGAACCTCCGAACAAGACCTAATTACTACGTACTAAGGCATTCAATATCTTTACAATCACAAGGAAAAAAGCAAAAGGAAACGAGCTTAAAAATTGTCGAAGGGAAAAAGAGCCTTATATATATTTATATGAAAAGATCTTTACAAAGGCAAAACGACCTTGACAAAAAAGAACAAAAGTACAAAACAAGAAAAAATCTACAAGGTACTTAAACGGCTTGGTCTCCACCGGAGCCTGCCTCGTCGCCGAGACCATCAGAGTCTTTTCCGTCCCTGGATCCGTCCGAACCCTTGGAGTCTTCTTCGTCCTCGGGATATACTAACTTCTTGGCCTCGACTTCGAGCCTTTAGCATTTTCGACCTCGACCGACAAATCAAAACCCCGAGCATGAACTTTCTCG